TATATATATATATATACACACACACAATGTTGTAAAACTCGCCAAGTTGTCCGATCACTCCTCCGAGTACTCGTTACTCGCCCCTTACCGAGGCGAGTTGCAGAATCCTGAGTACTCCTCGATCGGCTCCTTACTGAATTGAGCGGTGTTGTAAAATACGGTCAACTCGGTGATTAATATGTATAATATACTTAATGATTTATTATTTAACACACATATATGTGATTATTACTACATATACATCTTAAATTGTCAATAACTATTCACAAAGTGAGACCATTATGCATTTTTTTGTTTTTGGGTATTCACATGTATCTAATGTTGTTATATATTTCAATTAACTTTCTATTTCAACTTATGATTTTGACATATATAATTTCCCTAAAAATATTTCTACATGAATTACCGAATCGGCTGAACAGGTACCAAGTAACGAGTACAACCTTATATATATATATATATATATATATATATATATATATATATATATATATATATATATATATATATATATCATTAGAAAGGTATCGACGATGCGGTCGATATAAGACTAATATTGAATACTTTCGACATTAGTTTAGCACAAATATCATTAAATCTATTTAAAATAATATTATTAAGGGTCGTTTAGCCGTTTAAATAATTATATGAGTGCTTTTTGAAAATTCATTTACTATAATTCTTAGGCTCTATGCTCTCATATTTTTTGCCCAAGTCTCTTTTAAAAACTTATCTTTTCTTACCCTCAATCATGTTGATCCCTCGTGATTCGACATCTCTTTCTATAGTTATAGTATATTAAGTTGGACGCTAAAGCAATGGAAGAATCTTTCTAATGAAGGATTCAACGACGAACTTCTACCCACCGAGTTTCTAAGTTTTCGTAGAAAACATGTCATTAGAAGAAGTGTTACACAAGGATCTAACTTTCGTGCGAGTCGTCCACCTAAATCAGGTGAATGCATAATTACTTTCATAAATACGATTTAAAACAAATTATTTTGAAAAAATATTAAATTCCTATTGAAAGTTTATATTTGAATTAAATTGTTATTTTTTGGAATATTGGATTAAATGTTTTTTTATAACATGTATTGTGTGAACCATATATGGTTATATATGTGTTAAAGTGTTTATATGATATTATTAAATGATCATAAAAATAAGTATTATCACTTAAAAAGGTAATGGATGTTAGAATAATTGATACTTTGTGTTATGAATATACATTAAGTTACGATTAATGTCGTTTATCTAACATCCCGACTCCCAGGAGGTTGGGGAGCAACAAGGCTTGGAACGACGAGGAACTTTTGAATCCAATGTTCTTCAATGCTATCTTATGTTTGGAGGTAAAAAGCTACCACCCTGATCATTTCTTTTGTTAGATCTCTTTCTAGGGGTTTTAGGGCTTCTCCCATCCATCTTTTGGTTATTGAGTCTTTTAAGCATGACATGAAGTTGAAACATCAGATCTGGACTGTATGAGGTCCTTGGAGCCCAAAGATCCAAGCTTTATCAAGCTAATGACAAGCTTTTATGCATTAAACCCCATATAGAGCTTATTATGGCATTTCGAGCCCTAGATGCCATGCATGGATGTAAAGCTTGCAGCTTTACGTGGTATTTCAGCCTTGGGAGGCAAGATCTAGAGGTTGGGACATTATTTATGCTTAGAATAGTATGAATGAATATTGATTTAGAGGGACTCGATGAGTGCATGAGCCAACTCGAAGATTCAGCTAGGGTTTTCCCCGATAAACTGGATGCGCTACAACTCAGCGAGTTGATGAGACAACTCGACAAGTTGAGTCGGATTTTTGCTATTCTTCAGAGAAAACGAAAGAACTCGACAAGTCGCATAGATGCACTCGACGAGTTTAGTCAACATGAACTGTTGACTTGAGCGTTGACTTTTAGGGTTTGGTCAATTGTGCACCTTAGAGACCATGGTAAAATGGTCTTTTCACCATTTTTGAGATTTAGTGGAGGAGTTAGCTTAGCATCTCAGAATGGTTATTACAAATTGCCTATTATAGATAATTATACTATGTAGGCGGAGTCTAGACTGTTCGTGGGGTACTAGATCTACTTGCTTACATTCGAGGTAAGTCTTCTCACTATACTTATTTGAGTGGTAATACTATGTGACCGGAGGGTCATATTTGAGTTATCAACCAGGGGGTCCTATGTGTTTATACTGAGTTATGTGATATTATGCATTTTGTATTTGTGATATATGTTGTATTATTCTGTGCTTTACTGAGTTAGGACCGGAGGGTCCAAACCAAGTTGTGAGACCGGATGGTCTTCACTGAGATATAGGACTGGAGGATCCAACCCGAGTTGTGAGACAGGAAGGTCCTCACTGAGACACATGACCGGAGGGTCTACACCGAGCCGTGAGACTGGAGGGTCCATGCCAAGTTATAGCCATGAGAGGCTTATTATTTGTGTATGTGGTATTTTGGGGAACTCACTAAGCTTCGTGCTTACCGTGTTGTGTGTTATGTGTTTCAGGTACTTCTCAAGATCGCGGGAAGGCGTCGTCTTGATTGTACACACCTGTTCGAGACTATGTTGAGGATTATGGGATATTATCAGTTGTTTTCTTGAATTGTGTTATTGACATTTGATATAGTGTGGTTTTGAGAAAATGTGATATTGATTTTATGTGATTCAAAAATGAAAATTTTGTTTGAAAATTTAGAGTGTTACAAGTTGGTATCAGAGCCTTGGTTTGAGGAATTCGGATGTACTCTCGGGTATGTGTGGACTCAAACTGAGGAATTGAGAAAATTTTATAAAGAGAGATGATATTTCTAAAATGAGTAAGTGTTTTAAAGAGAAAACGAGACGCAGCAGTGTGTACAATCAGCCAGAGCCAAAATAATGCATTCCCAAAATACCATTATTAATTTATATTATGAGATGTTTATGAGATATTATAGGTACATGCTAAAGGATAGGCGAGGTACTTCAAAAATTAGGGCTAGAGTTGCATGATTCATGATGCCTTAGCTTAGGGTATTATATTGATTGATATTATCTGCTATTTGTTATGTGTGTGTGTGTACTGAGTAGGGAGAAACACAATGGGAAACTTTAAAGAGAGTTTTGAGTAATCTAGGAGGGATACCTAGATGAGCATTGAGGAATCTACCGAGAGAGTAGTTGAGATTCGTGAGGGATAGAGTATTGTAATTAGGATCCTAGGAGGAGGACTTAGGACAACTATAGGTTGGTGTGGAAGGTAGTATATGGCCCGTACTACTGAAAGCACCAGATCTGTAAGAATCTTAGGATACTAAGGAGTGTTGGGTTTTGAGCATTACATCAATCCCATGGCGCACATGCAAACCCTAAAACTTTGGATCTAGGTTTCTCTAATTGTACATGCAAGTCATCCAAAGCTTGTAAACCCTAATTCTAGCATACAAAAAATCCAAAACAATAACTAAACAAGTTTAGATGATTACCTTTCAATTGTAGCTTGAAGATCTTAGACTTTGAGAATCTAGCACCTCAAATGCGATGCCTCTAATGAATCACAAACACCAAAGCAAGTTGGATGATCTTGGATAGAGGGGAAGGAGGCTCAAAATCAGCTCTTGATCTCTAGGGTTCAAGGTCATAGCCGAATTATGAAGCCCTAGGGTCCTTTTTATAGGTGAGCTGCTAGGTTTCAGTTGACACCCTAATTGGATTGCTTAGGCCTTAAGCAGTCTAAAGGAACCTTCCAGAATAAGGCCTTGGACGAATTTAAGGTGGTTTTCCCTCCTTGATTTTGTCCACCCCTTCTAATGGATCCTCACCTCAAAATCCAATTATCTTATAATTGCAATTCCAGTCCCTTAGGTTCAATTAATATCTTTCGACCACAAAATTAATTTCTTAATTCATTCTTGACCAATATTAATTAACCAATATGATTTCTCTTTTAATATATTGTTCATATAATATATTAATAAACATAATAACCTCTTTCTCCATTAATCATCCAATCAAGTTGCTCTGGTGAAAGCTACCCAAAAGGACCATGCTAGAACCGGGTCAAGTACATACCAAATATAGTTATGGGGTTAGACATAATCCAACAGTCTCCCACTTGGATAAGTCTAATAACTATAGATCACTACAAGAAAAATACCCTTTAATGACGTGCAAACAATGACACTCGCTGATTTATGATATGGATTTTTGTGTATTCTTAAAAATAATGTTAGCCTTCCAAAATTTGAAGGATAGAAGACACGCATTTTTGTGTGCCTTAAAATTAATGTCGAACAGAAAAAAATACAAACACGGAGGGCACTTGTTTTAAATGCGTGTCCACTAGAAATGTCGCTTTATGTTTTTTTATTAAACGCGCGTTTTTAAAGGGCAAAAATGAAATCCACTGATTCTAAAATTTTGAAGTGCCCGCTTCTTCAATCTCTCCTCAGTATCTCCCTTCATTCACTCATTCCTAGGGATTTTTCAAGAACCATTCTACCTAGGGCTTTTTCAAGAAAATTCAAAAAGCTCACCGATTCTCAATCAGTTCTTCCAGGCCTCTGCAACAATCGACGATCTCACTTCTGCAACAATCAACGATCTCACTTCAGGCTTACTTCTTGGCTGATTTTACCCATTCCTTCACCTCAATGAGCTTTTCCCCACTCAGAGAAAGCCTCCCTTCTCTCCCTGAATCAGTAATGGATACCTCTTCCAACATTGGGAGACCCTTAACGATGTCCATCAACATCATATGCTACACAATCACATACCATGAACTACCAGGTTTTCTTCTTCTTCATTCCCATTTCCACTAAGGGGCCGTTTGATTTTCTTTCTCACTGGGTCTCAAGTTAGGAACCGGTCCTCAATCCAAAGTCAGCTTGTTTGTTTTCCTTTCTACACCTTCGGACTCGGTCCAAATCAAGGATCCAGTCCTTATTTTTGTGTCGATTCGGTCCAAGGAAAAATACCTTCTGACCGAGTTGTTGTGTTTCGTTCTCATGTATACCCTCTTCCCCGCTTCCTTCTCTGTAGTTCGTATGTCGAATCTTGGTTCTCCTTCAAACCAACGCATAACTTCTCCTTCCACCACCACTATCGGTTCTCATGCAATCGATCGTCGGACTTCACTCCAGCGCCTCCCAAGGATGAAGACTTTATTCCAGACTTTAGCCTCGTCAAAACATCATGTAGATATATCTGTTTTACAGAGGTTGGGCTGTCAGGGGATTTTTAAAATTGTTTTTAGGATTTCCGAATTCGGTCAATCGAATGGCGTTGTTGTAGAAATTGTTTTATAAGAAGTTGCTCGATGGACTTGCCGATGTCTCTGAAAGAATATACGGTAATTATTTAGCCTTCTATGGTGTAATTAGATTCATATGTGTATGCATGTGATACAATTACCTTTTCTGTTAAAACTTTTCTCCGTGAATCACCACTTCAATTCTATCTAGGTTTATATTCTACTTCCAATTTGGGGGTTTGATACATTAGGTGGTTGAATTCTGGGACAAAAAGTTGTATGATTAGGGATAGAAAAGATTGTTATAAATTGCAAATTAGATATGGATCTGCTAGACATTCAACCTCATTTTCTTTTTCTACAGGTCTCAAGATTAGGGTATGGCTGCATCGGGCTTACAGGTATCTATAACAATCGACAAATGAATATGTATTCGCAATTTATACTCCTTATATATTGTCACTAGCATCTGGGAAGTTGGATTCTGGCTCTTTCCTCCATTGTATCTGTTTTCTTCAAGTAATCTTATCAGTTTCAGCCAAGGCATCTTTCCCCACCAACTGAAACAACCACCACCACCATGTTATCCCTCCCCCTTATATATATATATATATATATATATATATATATATATATATATATATATATATATATATATAATATATATATATATATATATATATATATATATATATATATATAATCCCTCCACATAAATTCTCATTTAATATTTTATGATTCCAGATACAAAAAGCAACAAACCTGGAGAATTTCATTTGTTGATATTCTATTCCAGATACAAAAAGGAACCACCACCATGGTTCGAAGAACTGTTGGAAAAACTGACCGTTTGTTTTAGCGGCGAAGAGCTTCAGTTTGTAGAAACGATCTATCACAAAGTCATAAAGCTTCAAGTAGATTTTTACTCAACTCAACCGATCATTCAAAACACCATAGATCTAGGGTAGTTGTAGTACAAAGTATGTTTCCCACTCTGCAAAGGCACCTGAAACAATACTTTCCGCATCTTCCATCAAATCCTATAAGCATACAAAGTGACAAACATATATCAGAAACAAATCTTGGAGTTAAAATATGTATATAGTACCATCATCAGTGAAGTGTTTGTGCTGCAGTTTTGGGTTCGAAAAGTTACTCTAGTTATATGTGTTGTAGGCTATGGTAACCTACTAGGTGACATGGTATGCTTATCATCTTTACCCATTATCACAAATTTTTTTAGTGTTTTGTTTTGAATTACAATTGAAGGGTATTATAGACATTTGAGTAATAATATAATATTGATCAAGGGATGACATGGAATACAAATTGACATGGTATGTTGTCATTTTTCCAAGTAGTGCTGACATGGCGTCCATGTGGACTGTCTATTAATTTCTAATATTGAAAAGGTAAAACTAAATAAAACACTTCATATGGACGCAATGCCAGTGCCACATGGACAAAACAACAACAGACAATGCCAAGTCAGATGCCAAATGGACGCGACATCATCCTTTTTTTACTCCTATATAAATTAAGTGAATGAATTGGTAATGACGACTGTCTGGATAAAGTGTTGTATCTTTCTTTTCTAGTCTGAACGAGAGACTAAATGACTATCTTACCCTTACACTCCAACAAATAAATATCACAGTTTTTATTATTATTTTTTTTTTATATTGTTTCCTTGACATGCCAACAGCTTTGCGTGCAATGGTGACAATTTTTGACAAAAAGTGCAATCCTCTAATGGAGCTTGGAATAGGACCTTAGAATACCATTTGCTGGAACCCAAAGGGAAAGTGTATCCTTCAAAAAAATATACTTTTTGAATTTTTTTTCCTACACTCTTTTCATACTAAAAGACTGTTTTGACCTTAATCATTTCTTCTCTAGTTATATGTGTGGCAGGCTATGGTAACCTACCAGGTGACATGGTATGCTTATCTTCTTAGTTCTTTCCCCATTATCACAATTATTTTCATAACTTATAGTGTTGTTTTTGGATTGTATAT